GTACATCACATCGTTATCGGATACCTAGTGTGAATAGCTATATTGTATTCTAGGTAATTAGTATTTACTAAATATTTCTGAATTTATACAAATTGCTTCAAGTAGCACTTACTTTGCCAGTTAGCTCTGCAACGTGTGAGCGCAGTTTTTCAGCTATGTGTAGAATTAAAATATGAGTGAGAATGTTTATGCTCCAAGATTAGTTTACTAATCTATCTATTCTTATTTCTTTACGTTGAAAAAAAAAGACCTGACTAAAAGTATTGAAAGTGAAGATATTTTAAAAGAATTCTCAAAATCCTCCTGAATGATGGTTCTAAAATAAAATATCCATTACTGTTATTTATTTGATAATTGTCTTTTATGCATTGTATAATTTTGTGGTATCAATAAAAAAATAGATTTTTTTGGATAAAATAAAATTTGAATATAATGTTAATAATTGGTAAATAATTGAACACTAAAGGGGGAGGGGTGTGGGAGACGAATCCCCCAGATTTATGTAAATAATTGTAGCCCAACCAACATTTTCAATGGATATCCATTTACGATGGTGCATGATGTACATGTTGAAAGTTTTAATTTATACTAATAAATCATTGTATATACGAGTACTTGAGTAGTTTTTGAAATATATTAGTGGTGGGGCCGCAGAGTTTTCACACACCCGGTGGGATATATCAAACCAGTACCTAAATATACATAATCATGCTAACTAGATTATTCAGCTAGTCACTGCTATTAGTGCCTATATTTAGTACCAATAATTGATGAATATCTAAGCATTATATATGACTAAATATGACCAGAAGTCCAGATTACAGATACAGATCCTTATTTTGAAAACCATTTAGGATACATATTTGTATACTTGGTAAAAATAAATATTCAAGTACAGATTATATATTATATTATATTTAGATGTTTTATATATCTAATATATTTTTTATTTCATGTGATTATTTATCGCGGTATTGAAAATAATAATGATGCAATAAATATATTTAAAATAACGATGACATTATAATTTAAAATTTAATAAATATTCGTTCCAATATTATGATAAATAAATAAACTTASAAAGAGCTATTAAATTATGTAAATTAACGTTATTGTTACAAATGTATAAATAAATTTACAATTTATAAAACTAAAAATAAATAATGTGCATTAATAGGTACGTAATCGTTCTTATTAACTATTTTTATGAAAGCATTGCTTGTTTTAAACATTAAAAAAATATATTCATAAATCTATGAAACCTTGCAATCCAATTTTGAATAACTCAATTATTTCAATCACACGGCGTTTTAGATAGGCAAAAAAGGTACGTCATCAATACTCAATAGCACTGTCTTACTGGATAAATATTAATTATAGCCATTACTAAAATTCTAATGAACGTTGATTTTATATTTTTATCGCCTTAAGATCGTTGCAATTGTTGTATGAAGATGCGTGTTAACACTCACTATTGTAACGAAAAACGAAAATACCTATTACTTTTTTTGTGAAAGCTGAATCGCCAACAATGAATACACTCTCTACAGAGAGTTATAATATATTTAAAACTGGAAGTTAAATATATTTAGAAATCCTATAGTCTATACCATCATCGACCGTAGTTGTCGTTAAACGATTATAATAATTAATGATAACCATTTTCTTGATAAATAAGTTGTATAGGTACTAATAAATAATAATATTTCCATA